TGGGATGGGGTGTCCTTCTTGCAACTGCCTCTCGCTCTCGAGGGCTGAGGGTCCCTCTAACTCAGTGGCTCTCAACCTCCGGGCCCTTTAAATACAGTTCCTCATGTTGTGACCCAACCATAAAATTATTTTCGTTGCTACTTCATCACTGTCATGTTGCTACTGTTATGAATCGTCATGTAAATATCTGATATGCAGGATGGTCTTAGGCAACCCCTGTGAAAGGGTCGTTCAATCGCCAAAGGGGTCGCGACCCACAGGTTGAGAACCGTTGCTCTAACTCCGCCTCCATCCCCTCCCAGGAGGCAGCCTCTCAGGCCTCCAGAGTTGTTGGTGCCCGAGAAGGAGGCAGCCATTCTGAGGGCGGACATCTGGTGAAGATGGGGTTTCTCTGCCAACATGGGAAGGGCAGGCTAGCAAGATGTACCAGCCTCCTGCAGGAGCCCCTGCCCCAGTTCTTCCCCCCCGCCCCAGTACCAATATCCATCTCGATGTTACCGGCCCATGTCATGTGGGCCTTTCGGTTCTTGATCCTCTGAGACATGAATTCACTCACTCACTCACTCATCCATTCATTTCACACCAACCTCAAGTCTCCCCAATGCCCGTACCCGCTGCTCATCACTCTCTCACTTTCCTTCCCTTCCTTGGGTACAGAACATGATCATATACCACTGTCACTCTGAGCAGGAGACCTTTAAAGGTTAAAGAGACTTTTAAGCTCTTCCAAATTAAAGTGAATATAGAGGCCTTGTCCTTAAAACTTTCTATGCTGACGAATATGTCGTGGCACATATAAAAAGAACTTTAAAAGCCGACGGGAAGGAATACAACACAATGGCTGCCAAACTAGAGTCAATTTCTATGCTGGGATGAATAGGAGGAACTCCTATTCCTCCGTCAAAACCCCACCCGGACATGACCTACTGGAGGAAGCCTTCCCCAAGCCTCCTACACGGGGTTCATGAATCTCTCAGCGTATTTCCCATCCTTTGTACCATTCGTTATGGGACATAGTCCCCTCACTTTTAACGTGTCTTCCTTTTCCCTCCATTCTCCCCTTTGTAGGTGAAGGTTCTGCAATGCCCTCAAGCCTAAGGCTGCAGGTGTCAGAGTGAAGCTACTGCCCGGAGACCAGCCTAGGGACAGCCAGAGCTTCTACAGGTATAAGCAGGTCTGGTGCTCACAGTGACCTTCCAGCCAGACGTTATTTGCTCCATCTTAGAGACAAGAACACGGACACTGGGTTGAACCACTTGTCCTCCACGGCCCATGGCCAGACGCAGAGGAACCAGCAACCCCCCCAGGAGTAACAGACTCCAAAACGCTGTCAGCTGCGCCAGGCTCTGACCGCGGCACGACGCTAACCGTGTGGAGCCCTCCTACGTGCTGCTGCGTCCACACATGCTGCACTGTCTTCTAGAACAACTCCACCAGCTAGACCCATTTCACAGACAAGCACACAGAGGAACGGAGCAGCCGCATAAGTTGCAGGAAGAGACAAAGCTTTCTGATTTCTGAAACTGGACTCGAAGGCTCCAGAAATAGCCACCACACAGCGCAGCCACCTGGGTCTCCCCATACTCCTCCCTCCCCCCCCGATATTAATCAGATACTATTCTATCAGATTGTCCTCCCAGGGGACACCGGGCAATGTTTTGGTTGTCACAAGGGGGTCAGGGGGTGACGGGAAGAGGTGTTACTGGCATCGCCAGGCCAAGGATGCTGATCAACACCCTACAGCGCAGCCCCCACCATGAAGGGTCCCCCAACCAAATGTCAATAGCGCTGAGCGGAGACACTCTGAGACGACCCAACTTAGACTCGCATCACCACACACATGTCCACTCACACACATGCGTGCACACACACAGGACGGCATCCAGACCTACGCTCTCATCCCCCAGGTAATTTGAAGAGACCTACAGACAAAGGGGAGGTGTGGTGGGGGGGAAATAAGGCAAGCCCCGCCCACAAACGTACCACAGTCACCATTAACGTCATATTTATTGTTATTTAGCTGCTCAGGAAAACATATACAGGTATATACAATATGCATGAATACAGAAGACTGCACTTTACATATTTTTTTTTTAAAAAAGAAAGAAAAAAATAACACTCAATTTCATGAGCTATTGTCACAGTCTTCCAACCAAGCATTTCAGAAATGAATTTCTTTTCTTAAGAGTCAAAAAAGATTACAGGATTGCCTAACACACAGCAGAGTTAAGTTTTCATATTTTACATGTGCAATAACGTTTTCATTTTCTTTTCCCGAAGAGTTTTGCTATGCAGTACCAATTACCAGTGTTTGGAATCTCGTGGGCTGGGTGTGTTTTTAATTTGCTTTTATTCTTTCCCATTTAACCAAATTTAATGAAATAACATCCTTTTGCTTAAGGCTATTTTTAAAGCTGTTCCATTCTGGGGTCCGGGGCGGGGGGAGCGAGAAAGTTTTAAACTTCAGGGGTTTCTGAGGTTGCGAAGACCACGAGCTCATGGCCAAGTGCCGATGGACTCGACGCTGGGAAAGTCAAAAAAGATAGAAGTCAAGGCGATTGGCTCCCCGGCCTTAAGCAATTGAGGAGAAATCATTCCTGTTTTTTCAAAAAAATAAAATGATGAAGCGCTCATACAGCTGTACACGGCGGGATGGGAGGGGGCCTGGGGTTTTGCTCTGATTCCCCTGCAGCCAGCGACAGTGGGGCAGGCAGGGGAGGGGGGACGTCTCCCCCCTTCTCTCTCCTTTTGACCTGAATCAAGTCACACACCTTCTTCTGATAACTTCACTCCGCCTGCTTCGGCCTGCCCTCTGCGGGCGGGGGGTCGGCCCCTGGTCACACTGTCCAGGCCAGGACCTTGCACTGTCCAGACTCCGACCCGAG